TGACAGAAGGAAAGAAAATATGCACAATTAAGAAAACGAGAAAGCCCTTAAGGTGCATGAGAGCACAAAGCAAAACAAAGAAAGCAGGGCATGTTTTCGCTTTAGAAAGACTGGTCACCTGAAAACAAATGGTTTAATCCGGAAAGCATAGCAGCAAAAGCGAGAGGCACCTACAAGAGAAAGAGCTAAGACCGCTACAAAGGAAACTGCAGGCACATCATGGAGTGCTACCTTTTTAAGTGACTCGGAACAGTATACCACGTGGATAGTGTATTCACTCAGGTGCAAAAAGTCACATGAGTAGTGATGAGACCTTCTTAACAGAAATTGATTTCAGTGCAAAGGACAAAGTTTTCCTAGCAAACGGGAAAAGTATTACTGCAGAAGGTAAAGGATTCTTGAACTGCATCACGCCATCAGTGGACAAGCAGAGTATCTTTGTGAAAAAATGTACTGTATGTCCCAGACCTAGAAGGAAGCCGTGAAAATCCTTGCTAATAACTCTCTCACAGTTAAATTCCGAGGCGATGAATGTACAATCCGACGCAGGAAGCAAATCCTTGCAAAACGAAAATTGGATGAACACCTACACAAACACATCACTGCAGAAAATCAAGTCAAAACAGCCACTTATAATCCACACAACAATTGTGGCACAGATGACTAAGGCACCGAAAACCCAGAAGCCATAAAATACATTTTAATGAGAGGCTTATCAGAAGATATAAACGTACTGCCCTGCCAAATGCTCATGACACGCAAATGCTGCATGTAAGGAAAAGGTCACACGTACCCCACTTCCACAGACCACTCACAAAAAAAAAACACCCACCCCATGGAGCTCATACACAGTGACGTGTGCGGACCAATGAAAACTCCCACATCAGGGTACAGATATCTACTGACTTTAATTGATGATTATTCCAGGTACACAACAACAAATCTGATGAAGCACAAGATAGAAACATCAGAAAAACTTCAAGAGTTTGTAGCCATGTCAAGAAACAAATTCCATCGGAAACCAGGAATTATACGTACCAACAATGGAGGGGAATACATCAATAGGGAAGTGGAATCCTACCTGAGGAAACAAGGTTTAGTACACCAGATTGCCACACCATACACTCCAGAACAAAACGGTGTAGCGGAACGAAAACAAAATGCACTCTTATAGAAATGGCCAGATGCATGCTGTCAGACGCCAACCTACCTAAGAAGTACTGGAGAGAAGCAGTCATGACTGCAACATACCTACAGAACAAGCTACCCTTAACCCTTTCGCTGCCAAGGACGTATGGCATATTAAATGTCGGGCCGAAACAGAAAATGTTTTTTTGTCTTAACTTTTTCAAATTTTTAAAAACATTTTATTTTTATTCATTTTTGTAATAAACTTGTACATTTTTTACATTTAATTTTTATTAAATATTTTTATTTTTAACTTTACTTTTAAAGGGGCTTTGGTCTAAACAGACCCCTGATATTTTCCTCTTTTTCTGCAGCCCCTGTTATAAATGAACAGGAATCCTCTGTACGGAGTGTTCCTGTTCATTTATAACATGTGGATATAATGTGTTTACTATATCCTCAATCATGAATAAACAGGAAGTGATGTAGATCACTTCCCATTCATTCATAATTGAGGATATAGTAAACATACTATGTCGAATATTTACAAACACTCAGCGATCACTGATCGCTGAGTGTTTGTACTGCTCTCCTTCCTGATGCGCTGTCACAGGAGGCTGAGCGAGTAGTGCGGGGAGGAGAGCTTGATCTGACAGCTGACTCCTCCCCCGCACCGCTGGCTGGCTTCCTGTGACAGCGCTGGATGTCTCCGCCCACATCGATGCTCTCCTGATCTGTGACAGGAGGCTGAGCGGTGTGGGAGGAGCGACGCCGGCCGCTCATATCGCTCTCCTCCCGCAGCGCTTGGCCGTCTGTGACAGTTTCTCTCCTCCCCGCTGGGACAAGGAGCAGCACCCAGCAGAGATGCACCGCTATGTGGGCAGAAAAATTGCACTTTCTGCATTTTGCCAAAAGTGGAACTTTTGGACGATATGTTTCGGCAGCCGATATATCGGTGCATCCCTAATCAAAAGCCATTGAAACCACCTCATTTGAAATGTGGTATGGATTGAAGCCTAGCCTGGGGCACATCAGAGTGTTTGGATATACAGCTTACGCCTATATTCCAATGAGAAGAGATCCAAGTTGGAGAACACAGCCATAGAAGGTATTCAGATGGGCTATAGTGAGCAAAGTAAGGGATATAGAATCCTAAAGCCAAAGACTGACAAAGTGACAATAAGTCGCAGCGTTTATTTCAATGAGATCCAATCAACAGAAACAATGATCCCGGGGTGTTGTGAAGTGAATTTCCCAGTGAACCAGCAAAGGAAGCTGATAAAAGTGAAGCTGCACAGGAGTCAGAACAAGGGGAGGAACTCAAACTGGATAATTCAAATTCCATAGTAAATTCTGCTAAACAACCGGAAATTAGAGGATCCACTCAAGCAACAAAGGGAATATCACCCTGCAAGCTGTCATATACTCGTAAGACACATAGCATACTCGAACCAACATCGTGGGAAGACATAGAAAAATTACCAAGCGCAAAGCCAATCAATGGAGAAAGGCGGCAAAAGAAGAAATAAAATAATTCCAGGAAAATAAAACCTGGACACTCGAGCAAGCTATTATCGACATGCAGTATTGCTCATCGGAAGAAATGACTGCGGATGCACTCACCAAGCCATTGCCAAAGCTTCGAGAGAAGCTGAATGTCATATAGCAACACCTATGCAGTTGAGAAGGGGTGTTGGAAATACAACAGTCTATGCTGATATGCACTGATTTGTATTACTGACATTCAGAGATGTAATATTGTCTTTTGAGCACTAGATGGCGCTGTAGTGCAAGTCTAGTCTATGCTGGTTTTTCTATATGCATGCTTCTATCTATGATCTACTGTATATGTTTGCTGTTGATGCTGTTTACCTGTATACATGTAACATTTTTCTAAGCAAGTAAAACTTCAGCAATCCTCAAGATCTCAGTGCTTTACCTAAACACATAAACAACATAAATAACAACATTTATTTACTGCTCCCAAAGACATCTCTGTTTCCATTATGTCAAATTGACTGAGATTCCTGATGTGTACCACTATTTTGTTTCTGACATCAGAGGTGCCCAACAGACATTGCCCCTTTACCCCTATGATACGTCTGCATCTCTTCTACCTATCAGCAAGACCCAGCTTACAGGCCTAAGGCAACAGCTGGGAGGGTACATTGATAGCTGTCAATAACACTTTATAGCGACCCACCCAATATACTTCCAGCACTGATTAAAGGTATTTGGACTAACAAACACTTGTATAAAGTTTCTTCTTTCTTTAGGAATTCATGTATTGGTTAACTAAATTGTTGTCCCACCCTGTTCTTAAATACATGCTGGTTTACACATATTTTATATGTTTTAACTAAATAAGTTATTGATTATTTGTAGCTATTGTGTTATTAAAACACATCACTGTGTAGATCCTTGTATCTTATTTGTCTTGCAGTGTATACAAGCCAGGGTTAGTGTTCCAAGTCAGACAAAAAATTTACAGTTCACAGCAAGTGGATGACTGTTCACAGAAAGTAGATGAAAGCTTGCAGCAAGTGGAGGACTTGTCCATAGAATTGGCACATTGTGAAAGGAAACTACTGCTGAATAACTCCAAAGTAAGGTAGGATACGAAATGTTTAGGTTTAATGTGAATACATAACCATAGATAGAATAAGGTGGTCATAAATATGGCTTGAAAATTACAGCAGCAGGCCAGGGTCATGATATAACACTAGAAAGACAATGTGTGATTTGGTCCTTAGCATGAAATGGCTGAACCAATGTACTATCTGAGCCAAGACTTGTATACAATGTGTAGCTCCCTCTTCATTCCAGTTACAAACCCCTATACTACATACTAGCACTGCAGACCTTGCAGTGGCATTGAACTGAAGAATGACTTTGACCCAGGTGAGGCGATGGGTTTGTTAAACCCTAAATATGAATTTGCAGATTAAAATACAGCAGCAGGCCAGGTTGTAATGAGGTTGTAAAGTGTATGGCCACCTTAAGGTATATGTATTGGGGCAGCACCATAAATGACAGAACCTCTTCTAGTTCACAAAAGATTTTTAATTCACCCAGAAAAAATTGGTAGTTTCTTCAATCTGCTGTTGGCCTAAGTTTCAGGAAACAAGTACCACAAATGGCAGTAGACATCATGCCAGGCCATGGGCTTTAAAAGAAAGTGTGTGTGCTATCCTTATGTTGTGTAACTGTATAGTACAGCAGGTGTGAATGATAACCAGGGTATGCACATCACTTCTGGAAACACTTGACAGGTAAAAATGTTATAAAGGTAGCAATTGGCCTGCAGTTGCCATTTTAGGGCTCATACAAACAGATGTAATTAAACGCTGATATCTACACAGGATCATCCTGGCATAAATCCTGGCATAAAAAAAACTCGAGTGATGGTCCATGAAGGGCTTATGCTTACCTTTTTAGTGCACTAACATCAGTAAAATGCTTACATTCCTCTAACTCACTTTTTAACCCCAGCATGTATACATGTATATGCATTTGCATGTGTGCACATGTAAATTATGCAGAAATGCTGACTGCGGACACAGAATTCTCTACTTTGATTGTATGCAGCTGAATGCAGTGCAAGATTACTGAGCATAATGCAGCTGTGTGCATGGGCCCATAATATACGCGATACCATACAATTCACTACTGCTATATACAACACAATACTCGTACAGTACAGTACTGATGCAATCAGATCCATAAACAAACTATGCAATGTGTGTTTTTTTTTTGCATCCATGTGCATGAGCCCTTATGTTAAGACAAGCATGTCCAGCACTGGCAGACAGGACAACTAGTTAAACCAGTTAAAGGAAGCCTGTACTGGCTTGAGAGCTTTTTTTTTGATGATGTTACTTTTCTCTGTCATTAGGAAAGCTGCTCTGAATGTCCTCACACCTTGGCTTGCTCCAATCATCTGGGATGGAATATATAATTTAAACATTTTAAATGAACAACATAAGGACACCAGGATAGGACTGTTTGTATTTGCAGTGAAAAAGTAAGTATAGAAAAAAAGATACTGGATTATATGTGATAAGACTGTTTTTACCACACACCTGTAAGGTTTTGAGCAGTTTCAAAGAGTATTATGAAATATAAGATAAACAACATAAAAATATTAACTGTAGTAAAAATATTCAAATATCTGTACTTTAGTCTAATTTAAAACTGAACTCCAAGCACAAACGTTTTGATTCAAATGACAATTGAATAGAAGGGGAAATCCTCCGCACACCTTGCAGCAATCAAGGCCTATGTAGACAATGGTGCTTGTAGTGATGAACACGGATGGCACCGTGCAGACACAATGTAGGAAGAGGAATCACCAGCACTCGGTAGAATAATCCAACATGTCCATTTATTGGACATAGAGATCACGCAATCACAAGAACGTTTCGAGACCACGCAGGGTCTCTTCATCAGGGCATAAAGAGTGACTCTTTATGCCCTGATGAAGAGACCCTGTGTTGGCTCTTGTGATTGTGTGACGTCTATGTCCAATAAATGGATTATTCTACTGAGTGCTGGTGATTCCTCTTCCTACATTGATTCAAACGCCAGACATCCCAACTCTCCTGGACATTCCAGGCTCCCTGATGCCCGGAAGAGAAACATTTTATCCTGGAAAGGTTTTATCGGCTGGTTTTTTTTTTGTTAAGTTCTCCTTCAGGTCCTTCCCTGCTGATTGACAGCAGTAGTGGGCGGGTGCAATAGCCAGCATGCTATTGGCTATTGCAATTTGAAATGGCCAATAGCAGCCTAGCTATTCATTCCCCTGCTCCCTTTTTTTTTTTCCCAGCCGCTGTCAGAATACAAAACTAAGAGGGCACCTCCCTAAAATGAGAAAGGCACCTCCCTGAAATTATTTTTTTCTTCAGGTTGGAATGTGTGAAATGCTGTAGTCACACAGGATATAAATCCACTTTGCGTGCACCAAATTCATTTAGAAACCCAGATATTATGTAGCAGTGACATAATCACTGTGCTGCACATAACCTGTGCTATGCATGAGTTTCTGCACACGCAGTGCAGTGGGTTGTGTCGCATTTTTGATGCGTTCCGGGACGTTTTTGCTAAAAAAAAAATAAAAGGTTTAGAATGGGCTTTCAGTGCGTTCCAGGGCGTTTGCATGCGGTTTGTATGCGTTTGCATGTGTTCCAGAGCGTTCCTGAGCAGGTAAAATAGGGCGTGCTGCAGTTTTTTACCTGCTCTGGAACTGAACGCAGCGGTGTGAACTAGAGCCCAAAATCCCATTGGAATACGTTGTACTAAGTTTTGATCCGGTCTGTAACTGCTCTGCTCCTGGAATGCACTCGGTGTGAACAAGGCCTCAAGTTAAAATACGTATGACTAGTATTTAGACAATATTTGTTTTGCCTGGAGTTCAGCTTCAATAAACACATTTTTTATTTTATTTTTCTCGCGGAATCCAGAAAACATTAATTGAATGTAGAATGTCTTTGGGGCAGCAATCTGCTTCAGAACAAATTTATTAAAAGGAGGAGATTCTTATCAGTACAATAAAACCACGAAGAAGCGAGAGGCTAAAATGGTGTTCTGACCAGCGTGTATAGATTGTGTTTACTAAAATATCCCTAAGGGCTAGCTTACACCAAGCGCGTTCCAAGAGCAGAGCAGTTACAGAATGGATCAAAACTGCATCCAATGTATTCCAATGGTGTTTTGGGCTCTAGTTCACACCGCAGCGTTCAGTTCCAAAGCATGTAAAAAATCTGCAGCACGCCCTATTTTTCCTGCTTTAGAACGCATGCAAACGCACCTAAAACGCTTGCAAACGCACTGGAACGCACTGAAAGCCCATTGTAGGCTAAAAAAAAATGTATTTATTTATTTTTACAAAAACTGCCCAAAACGCGGCAAAAACACACTGCGTCTGCAGAAACTCATGCAGATCTGGTCTGCATTTGGTGTGAACAAGCCTTAAAACAAAGACCTTACAATGTATTTACACCTAACAAAGTGTCATAAAAGGCAGCTTACCAGTCTCCTTCCATGTGGTGCATCTATTCCTCTCCTTGACCTGTTATTTCAATAACATAGAGTTGAGGTGTTTAGTTGTCCACTGAGTTACCTGGGAACAGTGTTAACTGATAACTTTCAGTGTGCTGCTTTTGCTGAATGTTCTCAACCGACAAGATTTTAGCAGGATCAACAGATTAATTTTTTTGCACTTATAGACAGATATTACAAAATGCTTTCAATTGTATACAGTAAACTCCCTATCCGCTACCCACAGTGATTTATAGGTGCTGGATAAATGTAGTTTCTGGTTGTTTGGAAGTTAATAGTAAGCAGCCGACAGGTGAATGTAACCAATCGGGAGCAAGAGCCAGAGACTCTCTCTCTCAGGTCTGCTCCTCTGCTCAGTGGGCAGGTGCAATAGCCAGCCTGCTATTGTCTATTGCAATTTTAAAGTGCCAATTGCTTGAATGCCGGAGTTTACCGTAATGAACAAATAAAAGAAGTTCATTGTTTGGGTTTACAAACACTTTATTTTGAGGGACATAACCATTCAGGTTTCACCTCAACTCACTTCCCTTTTAAGTGACCTGATACTATTATGTTATGTTATTTCTGCTTTCATCACATAAGTGCAAAGGGAACATACAATGGTTGATCGAATGCTATGCAACTTTATTACATATTATCAGATTTGTTTTTTCTTGTATTTACAATATTTACTTGTATTTACAGTATTTTTTAAAAAAGAATTACCTCTTTCTTTCCAGGTACATTCGGTTTCTTGGTCCATTCCTGGAATCAGCAGAACGTTTCTTTATGGTTGGCCATAATGTTACATATTATGTATTTACTGATCGAGTCAGTGAAATAGTTAAGCCAAAAATGGGTGATGGTCACAGTTTGCAGTTGCGTGAAGTAACTGCTGACAAGCGATGGCAAGATGTGTCCATGCGACGAATGGAAATCCTGACTGCCTTGACAAAGCAGTTGACAAATGAGATTGACTACTTGGTATGCGCTGATGTGGACATGGTCTTTAACGACCATATGGGAGTGGAAATGCTTGGTGACCTCTTTGCCACACTCCACCCAGGGTTTTTCCTTGCTGAGCCACATGCATTTTCATACGAACGGCATCCCATTTCTGCAGCTTATATACCTTTTGGTGAAGGGGATTTCTATTACATGGCAGCATTGTATGGTGGGAAGGTAGAAGAAATTTACAAGCTTAGCGTGGCTTGCCAGCATGGGATCATGGAAGACAAGAAAAAGAACATTGAAGCTGTCTGGCAGGAGGAGTCCCATCTCAACAGATATTTGGTTTACAATAAACCTACCAAGGTGCTTTCTCCAGAATATCTTTGGGCCACAAATATGCCGAATGGTGAATTTATAAAAAGGAAAAGATTCTTAGCAGTACCTAAAAACCACGAGGAAGTAAGAAACTAAAATGTTCCGTGTGACCAATTCACAAGGAACCATGTGTATTCATTTCTTGCCATTCTCCAATACGAGGACCTTAAAGGAGAACTATGGGGTCAGTGTTTTTCCCCATAGTTCTCCTTAGGGTAACGGGAGGACACAAACTAGCGTCCTCCCGTTACCCTAAGCTCAGTATACCGCGAGCTACAGCTCACGGTATACTGAGACGCTCACTCCAACCAGGGAGACTGCAAAATCTGGGGAAAAATAAAAGCCTTTCCTAGTGCAGACAGGTTTATTCAGATTAAAACAATTATATAAGAAATATACTCACAAGGATAAAATGAAATAGAGCTTTGTATAACAATACATGGATCAAGCAGTAAGCAGATAATCACTGCACAGACGTTCCTGTGTGCCAGCCAGGAGTGCCTGTGATGATGCGTTTCCGGGGTCACGCCCCCTTCATCAGATTCATCAGAATCTGATGAATCTGATTTGATGAAGAATCTGATGAAGGGGGCGTGACCCCGGAAACATCACAGCACTCAGAGCCCATCAGGTATGCTACATGTACTGTACATGTCAGTGATGTGCGGTTCCTCATATTCCGGGTGAGGCATTCCCCCGCTGGCCGATGCCCCGCCCCCATCGACGAAAGCCCCACCCCAAGCTGGGAGGAAGGGAGGAGCCTCCCTGTCCCTCACTAACTACCTTTCAAAAGCCGGATGCAGTGCTGCCTGTAATTAACAGGCAGTGCTTCATCCATGACAGGTTACACAGCGGGCAGGATTTCCCTCCTCTGTAACCTGTTAGTTGCCAATCTGAATGGACAAGAAGCTGTCAGCTTCAGACTTGAAGCTGAAAGCTTTTTCCTCCTTATTCTAGGTGAGGCTCTGCCTCACCTGGTACATGTGCTGACCAGAGACATGCTGACAGAAGCTATGAGGAGAGGGATGAACTCATCAGTGTGCAGCTGCTCATTCACTGTCCAGTCACAAGCCGGGTGGGGGTAGGGAGGTTGGCCTAGCTTTTTTCATAAATGCAGAAGAGAAAAGCCAGGTCACTACCCTGGCTGTGCTTTCTGGAAGGAAGGGGTGGGTAAATCTCAGGATCAGATTGGCAAAAACACAAATCTATTGCCAAGTGAAACCGCTCTCATATGTAAAACACCTTCCAAATATATATTGTATCTGTGTATTTAACAGTTTGCCTAAAGTTCATCTTTAAAATGATTCAAGATTCAGTTTGCCACATAAATCCAATCAGGTGATATGATGTCATTCATAGTTATACTATTTTTAGTTGACTGCACGTTTACTCATGGGATTCCGAAGTATTTCTTACCGCAGACCAAAAATCGGTTCTCCACACATGTGAAATAGTTCTTTGAAAAACATTTTGTACTACTGAAAATTGCTTTGCCCAGAGCTTTATTTTTATAATCACATCTAAACAACGGAAATGTAACCATGTCCTTAAAATGACTTTATAATAAAGGTGTTTATATATTATGTTAAAGAAGTTCCATTTTTGAGATCCCTTATTTTATGATCAGTTTGGTACAGATTATTACATTTTCTAATATACTTTAAGGTACACAAGAATCCAAATGGTGAGGGGTCAGAACCTCTGTCAATATTTTGTTATCCCTGCAAGGGACTTTCTATTTGTCCTACACCACTGTGATCGAGACTGAAGAATAATATAATCCTAAACTGTCACTATAACTTGGGAAAAAGGGCGAATAATCCATTGGAGACACTAACATCTGCTGGTGACAACTGTCTTAAGAGACCATTTTTTTGCTCCCTTTTGTAGAGATTTTCTCTGACTTATTGTTTTGTCTGCAGCACTTAAAGTGATGAGAAAAATTCCCAATGGGAAAGAGATGGTTAAAAAAAAATCCTACAGGTGTTTAAATCATTTTCTACCTTATCTAACTCTCTTGGCTTTAAATACTGTATGCTTTACCTGCCAAAAGGTATTTTCAAGGCTCATAACATAAAAAAAACCTGTTTTACTGTCAGCTGAGAGCGCATCCTACTATGTCCATTTCCTCTTGCATACCCTTGTCTCTAGTCTTCCTTCTAGTCTTTCTCCTACTTTCTAGTGTCAGCATATTTCCACTAATGCCATATATGGAAAAATCATGCACATGATGCATATATAATGCTGCTTCACAGTTTAGACAAAAATGGTTAGCTCATGCATTTACATTACTGCATTCATCAACGCAAGCAACACAATGTAGAGCTAATTTACACAACATCACCTTGCAATTCATGCAGGGCTTTGCACAACACACCTGCTGGGTGTGTACACACTACAAAGGTGTCTAGATTCCACCAATAGATTATGCTGGGAGGGAACACACTACAGAGGTGTATACTTGTTCGTGGCGTGTTTATAAGGTAAGTAAATCAACCCCTATGTGTCTCTAAGGAAAGCGGTTGCTCTGAAAGTTACTTTATGAGCTGAATTATGTATAAGAGGAAATTTCATAACAGATTGATAGATAAGATATTTCAAAAGCCCCTTAACATGCAAACTACACTGTGCAATGTTAATGTTTCCTGTGTGTCTGTATAGTGAGAGATGTACTTTTTGTTAAGTGCACAGCAATATGTTGGACTTATGGCAGCAATATGTCTCAGAACTGAGTATTATTTTGTATCAGGATTGGAAAGTATTGTCCGTAGTGCACCTGTGAAATGTTAGAGTATTAATATTTTTACTGGGCAATCGGACAACTGATGAAGGAGCTAAAACAGTTCAGCAGTTAAAAAAAAACAACATCTAGAAGAACATTTTGGAGACTATATAGCCCTGGGCATATGTGGTGCTCTTTGGTTTCTGTTCCACATGTTTTGTCATCCATCATAATACGCAATTCTTGTAGCAAAAAAAAAAAAAGCAATGGACTGTTGGAGTTGGCATGCTGATTTATTTAAAGCTGATCAGAAGTTATATACAGTCTTTGAACCCATTTAAAGAGGAACTTTACCTATATCTTCAAAATAACAACAAGTACACCTTTAGAAATGTTTAGTGATGACAATCTACAAAGAGATACTTTGAGATAATTGCTGGCTTTTTCTTTTTATGCATACCTTATTTTTCTTTTCTTCCTCAGTCTTCTGACAGTGGCCATTTTAACTAAGTGCAGGTTACTAGATCTCCCTTTACTTCCTGGAACTCTGGCACATGTAACTAGGACATGTGACCATGCGCATCATCTCAGGAGAGGAAAATGCCTTTCCCTGAGATCTGGTGAGATTACGATGAGATTTCCCAGCAATGTTCTGCTGATGTAACGTTCCAAAGTGAACTATGAAGTGGGGAAAAAAGGATATTGTAAGTAAAATAAAAATGTTTGTTTAGCTAATGAATGTAAGATGGGGGGTAAAGGTCCACTTCAGGTTTTGCTGCTGGATTTACCAGCAAGCCATGTGACTATCACATGAAATAAAAGGAAAAATAATTTTTTTAATTGTGCATATGCTTTGGAAGTGACCTCTTTTTCCTCATCTGCGATGTTCAGATACTGTCACAAGTACCTTATCTCCCTTATTATATATGCCCAGAAAATTTAGTTTCTAGTATTTGTCTTAATCAGATGCATGCAAAAGGGAATTTAACATGTAGCCTTATCTATCTTACTGCACATGACCAACGTTGTAAAATATTGTATGCAATACAATTGATACAAAATGTCTATTGGTTTTAACCGAATATTAAACAGTGAAAGTGAAAAAGCACTTTGCATCCTCAGAGCACTAAATTATTAGCTGATAGAGAGGAAGACAAAAAGCCTATATAAAGCATAGTTAACCCCTTCATGACCGAGGCCTTTTCTTTGTTTTTTTGCACCCATGTTATAATCCACATTTTAGGCCTGAAAATTACTTCAAACCCCTAAACATTATATATTTTCTGAAAGCCAAGACCCTGTAGAATAAAATGGTGGCAGATGCAAATTTTTATATTGCACGACATTAGCGCAACTTATTATCAAACCCAAAAGGTTTGTGAGAATTTAAGTTAAATTTAGTGCCCCAAAACACAATAAAATACCCATTGTTTTAATAAAATATAAAAGATGAGGTTACAACGTGTAAATAGATACCCAACATGCCCAGGTTACGAAGTTGTGTGCGTCCGTGAAACGGTGACAAAATTCAGTACCCCAAATAGTCAGTAGATGATGCTTTAAAAGCCCTTACAGATGATCAGTTTTGAGAATTGTTGCTCTCACTCTGGTGTGTGCGGCAATACCCAACATGTGTATTGCAATCATCGTTTTCATACGTAGGCGCACCCGACGCGTGTTTGTTAGGACGCGCATGCTCATGGGGGCGGGGAACTTTAAATAATTTTTACAATAATTTTTGCATTTATTTTATTTAATATTTTTAAAAACTGTTCTTTTTAAAAAAACTTTAATTGCTATCACATAGGAGGGCTTACAAGCCCTCCCCCCCCACCCCATAGTGATAGCAGATTAGTGGTGACCGGTACTCTTTAAGGTGATACCCCTAGACCCCTAGAATCACTTTTACACTTTAAATAAGCTATTGAAGTGCAGATCACACTTCAATAGCTTATTGCTGGGCTTCAGGAGCCCAGCAATGACAGCTATTGGACCGGAAGTGATGTAATACATGTCGCTCCCGATCCCATAGAATGGGGAAGAGATCTGCCGTTCTCCTCCCCAGCTTCTCACCGACACCCAAGAAGCCGGTCCTGGGCCCGTAGGAGGGACAGCGGAGCCCGGG